TATAAAGTTAGGTTAGTGTGAAATGATGCATTGAATTAGAGTTTAGAATAATTTGAATTATGTCACACTTTAATGATTGCCAGACACAAACCACACATTGCATTCTTCAATTGAATCAAGATTTAGGTGGTCTAATGCTGACATATTTCTTGAACCAAAACTGTATAGTATAATAATAATTTTTTTCTCAATTACAGTTGCAATCCCCAGAACTTATGAAAACTGTAGACTTAGGTACGGAGAAAATGTTGATCCTGATTTGAAGAAAAAGAACAAAAATAGAAGGCGAGGTCATACAAACAGATGGCAGGTAGCCAAAGTTCACTATCAGTTGAAAGACAGTATGTAAAGAAAGTAATTCTAACTGATTCAGGGCATGGAGGTAAACAGAGAATTACCTCCATGTTCAAGGTGACTAGAGTGTTGTTTCATTTAAAGGTTTTTGGTCAAGTTTAAACTGCCCACTTTAGCAACACGTTATGAGAATAAAAATAGTATTAGCCATAGTATTCCTATTCTACATAAAATGATGTCACATTTTGTGTTAATCAGTAAAGTGAATAAATGTACAGGTTGCATTGTGGGTAAAAGCACAAGAGAAACGACACTGGGGCGCTCTTGAAGAGTAATAATGTCATAGATTCAATGCCGCAGTGTAAACATCTATCAAGAAATCTGCAGTACCTTTCTTTTTGCAATTTCATGTACTCATTTTTAAGTGTGTATTGCTTTAGTTTTGAAATAACCATTTTTACAAGTTATGATTTTATGTTTCAAAGTAGACATACCAGAATGTTCAGCAGCAAATTTGCTTTTGACAATATTGGCAAATTAAGCATTTTTGTACGATTTCACTTGCATCTCTATGAAGCAATTATAAGTGGAAGACATATTGATTTCCTGTACACTGAATTCTGAACTAGATTTCAGTTCCATTCTGTCTCAGAGAACAGGCAAATTAAAGTAATTCTTGTCCATGTGCAAATAACATAATCTTATTAATTTGTGTTGCAGACAATGGAAAGAATGGAGAGAGTTTTAGTAGAAAAAGAGAAAGAGCCATGGAAAAATGTAAAGAGCGAATTGATGTCGAATGAAGAGGATGGAGACGAAGAGGTTTTTTTCAAATCGCTTCCCTGGAGAGCACAGAAACTCAATGACCTAATTAAAGTTTTGGATATGAGATTGGCTTCTCTCGCATACTACCCACGCAATTTAGTTATTGATATTGATTAAATATATTTACATTTACATTTTTTTTACATTTTTCAAAATTTGATATTCTTGCATTAATAAAGAAATTTAAACTGTGACAGTTCCTTGTAGTAAACAGAGTTGTGTTATAAATTGCGTGTGTGAAAGTAAATTATTTCAGCCACTATCCCAAAAGAAATGAATATATATCCCAATATGTCACTGTAGATTATTTTATTCAATTTTTTCCAAAATAAATATCAGTTAAAATCTCTTTTTCCCTTTTTTTGACCTTAAAAACCATTTTCAGCAAAAATAAATCCCAGTGAAAATAACATCTTATACAGTACAGTAATAATAAATTTACAATAAACAACTTATCACATGGTAATGGCATATTAAAAAGTTAAAGTTGACAGATAGATAGCTGGAAAAATGGCAAGCAATATGATCCCATATTTTCAGCATATTATGAAAACCTAGTGTATCATTAATAACTGGGGAATAGTACTAAACAGTATAAATCCGAGGAAATACAGACGATATACTAGCATAATCTTGTTTCTGATAAATAAGAACACATATGAATACAGAAATGTTTCATGGATGAATCCGATTGAATTCAGGCAAAGTATTTTACTGGTCAAAAAGAGTACGTATACTTAATAATACTGCCAATATTCACCAGTTATTCAGATTAAATACTTTCTATATAGAACATGGATTTTACTGTATTCACAGTGAATATTGTCAGTATTAAAGGGTTTTCATGCAGTGGCAGCCGTCAGTTGTTTTGTTTTCTTGGACTTATAAATGTTGCTATACGATAATTGATATCAGCACTGCTTAGTGTTTTCTTAATAATTTCACAGTCACCGTGGAACTGGAAGAAGGGCGTACCATTTTGTCACAGGTGAAACAGAATGTATGATTCCACATTATTGCTGACACAGCACAGTGGCTATGGATTTTTGTTTAAGAATAAACATATGTCAAGTTTTTACCTCAGTATCAATCAGTATCAGTGCCAACCTAGTTGGCAGTTTCATTGGTGTTTAACACTGCAATTTGGCTGTTTGTATATACATACCCCAGAATGGCTCACTTATTTATTAAAGAAAATACAAAGTTAAAGTAAATGTACTATATGGTCGGTGCAGTTGATATGTATTATTTGTTAGTGTTGATGACTGTTTTAAAAATACAACCGCTAAAGATCGGAACCTAATTATTCACTGAAAAACACAGTCTTTTGAAAACGCTAAAAACGTTAATATTAAACAGAGGTAAAAATGAAACGGAATGAAAATATATTGGGGAAAATAACATCGAAACCAATGTTAATACTGGAATACTGTGGCGAATCTGTTTTTAATCTTTGCTTAATTACAACCATGGAACAGTGGGCGGTGGACGTTTCTCTAATACAACGTTCCCGATCACACAATTCGATGGGCGGAATATTCTTGGCTTTACCTAGCCGAGCGAAGTATTTCGATAACGGATACCACCTATTTTTTGATAGAAATGTACTATTGTGTTTAAGTTTTAATAGCGACGTTTTACTTGATATATAATACAACACTTTTTCGAATCAATTGCGCTTACATAGATTTAAGGTAGAGATGCAGTTTACATGACAGGTATTTTAATTAGTTAATTAGGAAACCAAGATGACCTCCATTGAGCACAAAATTATATATTTTCGGAAAGCTTGTTGTATGAATTTTAAAACTGTGTTAGTATTTTTTTTTGTTATGGACACTGTAGTTTGAAATATGCACAAAAATGAGTTTTTTTGGTCAAAAGTGATTTAAAAAAATAGCTTCTAAACCATGCTTCTGTTTCCTGTCAATATTGGTTTATGGGTACATCTGTTTACTATGAAGAAAGTGTCGTCTTGAAAACTGTCTACCAGTCGTCAATTTTGCAGGGCAGCAGCTAAAATTTCACTACTTCAAGTTTATGCATAAATTAACACCAGGCTAGTTGTCTGTACGATTGTTGTAACACTATTCAACTAAAAACAATACCCCAACGGCGTTTTGAAGATAAACACATTGTCAATCATTTGTTATAATTTCAAAACAAAAGGTCAAAGCGTCTAGGAGCTATTTTTTTAGTTCTGCGGTGTGCACTAAAAAGAAAGCTGAGATAATTGCTAATATGCATAACAATTCACTCAGTAAGAAGTTTGCTAATGCTCATAATTAAAATAGCTGTAACAGTTCCAAATTTAAATGTATTATCTTTTTGTAAAAAAGTTTAATATAGTGCATAATATGGAGATCCCGCCATTTCTTTTTTTCACCAAGTTTCTTTTTTTATTATTTATGTACAGCCTTGTCAAATCTTGCTAACTAAGCATTCAAAAGAGAGAATGTTTGCACCTGTTATCTGTATTTTAAAATCGTCTTTTGAGTATGTTCCACTATTCACAATTCTACACAATTTTAACAGTCTATAGCCAAGACTGTTTGGATAATAAAAAGCAAAAAAAAAAAAAAAAAAAAAATTCACTCCCAAGTGCCCACGAACCTGCATCTCTAACTTAATTAATACTAACTTTACTAACTCCATGTATAGTACAGGAAAGGATTAGAAGATAACAAAATAATAAGCAAGTAAACCAAATGTCGACACTATTGTCAAGTCCAATGTCACGTGATTACTAATAAGGTACACTTTATTGACCCGTTAACACGGAGGTTTGCAAAGAACTTAAAAGGTTAATAAAATAAATCTATGACATGATATGATTTACTCAACACTAGTTATTGACTCGACGTCGACAATGTTTGTATTTGCGTTCCCGATACATTTAGAATGGCAAAAAAATACTCAACTGACAATGTCAGTAACTTCTTATCTCCACAATATAAGAAATATTATTATAAAAACACAATTTCTATTTCCTAAAAAAATACATAATACAAAACTTGCCCTTGCTGACCTGGTAGTATGTATAATAGCCAGTCTAGAAGACAAAGAACTGATTGATGAGTAAGAGAAAGTACCGTAAACGGTCGTCTACAAGGAAAGAGAAATTAAATACTTACTTGAATTACGGATCCAATTGCCATGAAGATAAGACTTATCCTGAAATATAATATTGTCAAAAGGATATATGTGATTTCCTGACAGGGATTATGTTACTCAGTATCTATATGTTGTATATTCCCACATGCTACAATCGAGTGATATAATCAGTCTTGTCTGAATTCTCTTGAAGGCAACATCAACTTATGTTCACAACAGCAAGAATGCCGGTTTATGCAGCCATAGCGTGCTTACTCGGAGTTGTCGTTGCTACCCACAGCGCTTCCATACCAGGTATTTCTATTCAAATAAATTGAAAATGTATGTTCTTTTTTCTTTTCAATACTCCATATACATGAATTTTGAGTTATTTGTTAGGTCATTGTAATTACGGCATTTTGCCTGCGTCCCCTATTTACCTGTGTCACACGTCGTATTAGCGTTGACTAGGTTACTGAGTTTACTATTATTCAGTAGTTAAGTGATGTACGAAGTGATGTTTTATTATCGGTTTATTCACTGGGTGATCACTTTTTGGGTTAGTATTTATGTGGAAACTGAGCTGGTTGCCATGGTATTTGCCCGATGCCATGGTATGTGGCTTATTTTAAATTGTTAGAATTCACCGTGTACAGGAGCGAGACATGGGTTGGGGGATGTCTTTCCTAAATTTGGAGTTTTTATGCTAATTGGAGTGAGCAACCTTTGACCTGGAGAGACGAGTTCTTGGATTGGTGGAAGGAACGCGCTAGAAATAGGATGAGAAGATGGCCGGAAAATCTGAACTTCGTTACAGTGAGCGGAGAGATAATTCATCTAAATCAGGCGAGTTACTGCATCGATTCTTGCTGAACATTTGTGGCAGAGAAGAGGAATCATCAGAGTCACCATTGGAGTTGTGCGGTAAACTCGGGACATCGACAAGTAACTAAGACGGCGTGAAATTTGCTGGTAAGCGAGTAAATCGAAAGGAAACTTTGAGGTAAACCGTTTGATTCGTGTGTGATAGGCCGACTTCGCTATAACCGAGTATCACACTTGTCATGATAATAAACTGCCGTGATACTGAGGTCGACGACGAGTTGGATGTGATGTAATAACCGTTTATTAGCGTGATCGGGATCACTCTCTCCCTGGGTTATTTCCCTACCGCTCCTGTTTCGGTTTCCCTGAGTTAATTATTGTTTCAAAGTTGTTGTGCTGAGATATTGTCCGTGTCGGATCTTGATTGCAGACGTATTTTTGATTTTTGGTTTATTTGCCGCCAAAATTGTATTCGCCAGCGCGCGAATTTTGAACACTTGCTCAAGTTGAACGGAAAATATGTTAACAACATGGTTGCTGCTTTCCACTGATTTAGTTTTATGTGCGTAAGTTTTTACATTTGTTGATTTTTGTTGAACTTGTGATTTGTTATTTATCTGTAGGAGTTGTTTTGTGGCATACGTTATTACGGTTAGTAAATATTGTGACGTCATTAAGACTATCGCCATATAAGGAGTTGCACAAAGTTTGTAGCCGATCGAAACTTTACTGGTGCAGAGCATAGTGATGCCTGATAGCTTGTGTAGTTATATTTGTAAAGAAACAGTCGGTTGCTTGTTTTCACTGGATTGTAGAGATATTTGTATGCATTGAATGCTGTTTGAGTCACAACTGTATATTGGTAATTGTGATTTATGATTAATGTTACTGTGTATATATTGCAGTTTACTGATCTTGCATTGTATGACTGCTAGTTGTTAGATAATATACTGTTTATTGCTTAAAATTATTAAGGTCTCATCATTCATGCTAGCGTGCTTGTGGGTACGGTTAGAGCTGGTTCGGCACAATACTTATCCATTGCCCTTGATTGAGTGGACCATTCTCTGGGGACTGTGTGAGCTGGCCCCTTTTAAAACAATGCTACCCCATCGTCCACTTCGGATCCGAAATATTGGTCCGATAGCCTCTTTGTGTTGCCTAGCGACAGGTGGATGAGGGCGGGACACCTGCATCTCATGTAAGCCTATGAGTATAATGAACACATGATAACATAATTATTGTGTAATGACTATGTAGTTATTGAATGACGCAATGGTTACATGCCCAAGTATAATATCTGAACGATTGCGCGACCACGAAGCACTCTATCTGGTTTACAACACGTTACCCACACCCGCAATTTGTACTGACTAATGACGTTCGATGGAATTTGTCGGTATATTTGATACACGGGATTCGGTCATTGTTTTACAATATTCACGTAAACTTAATATGTTTTTTTTATTTGAAAGTGTGATATCAAGGTTGAATTCGTATGTATCATTTTCTCTAAAACTACATTATACACAAACGCATAAACACTCACTTTAATAACTCTGCATCGCAGGTACTGGTTTTCTGCATGCAGAGAGCAGATTTGAGACAATTTCCTATCAACCATTCTCACTTTCATTGACACATCCCTTTTTAACCTGTTTCTGGATTATTGCAATACAGTGCAGTAAGGTGATTCAATTCAAAATTTGTCAAATGTACATTTCTTGACACAGTAAATGGTTTTCATTTTTATTGTAGCAGTCCTTCAGATCTTATGAGTTGTGTTTCGTTATAAGTATCGGCAGTAATTACATGTTTCTCTGAAACAAACAAACAAACATAAATCATTATATGTACTTAATGGTGAAAGTTGTACGCTTCGTTGGAACGTAGTTAATTTTTGTGACATACTTTGTGTCTCATATTTTGTTTCTGCAGCAGACAAATTACATAGCAGCTCCTTGGATATTACGTTTGCTTCTCTGTTTACAAAATTAATCACATCCTAGAACTGGACTGTTTTGCTTTGAAGGTATACAAGGTGAATTAGTTTTTAATTTCGCCCTCTGATTCTTACAATTTAACTCATTAATTTTCATCAAATAACTATTTGTAAGCAAACATTGAACATTATTTTTGAACCATCTTTAGTATGTCGTTAGTAATATAGTCGGCATACTTATTACCATCTACATCAGAATGTGCGGATGTACGGCCACAACTCAAAGTTGATATTTGCTGAGATAGTAGTGCAGCGCGTTTCAATTTGCGCAATCTAAAATTTTGTTCGCGTGCTAGATTCTGCTGATAGGTTATACGCTCACTGTGATCACTACTAGCACATGAGTCTTTTGTTTTTCCCAATCAATTCCTTAAAGTTAGTGGGCACTGGGAGTGAAATTATTTTTCTTGCCTTGACAGTCTTGGCCAGATAGTGTTAAAATTTCGGAGCATTTTCAATGCTGGAACATTGTAAACAATGCGGGTTTCGTCTATCAGGGGTTGTTATGGGTGGATGGTTCGTCGGGTTGAATATACGGGAAGTGGTTGTAACGGGGAATGGGTAACTCGCAAGGCAGTGAGTGGTACACGAGGATCGCTCGACACTTATACGCACCATTCAGTCACAAGGACACCAGTAATATAGTATAGCCGGATATTTATTACAACTACAATCGTCACCATACGCCCCCGGTCCTCTTCTAACTTAATACGCTAGAACCCCCCCCCCCCATTTTTATAAACGACAGTGTTAATCGTTCAACCAATAGTCTAAATACTTTGCATGCGTTGTCATGACGGCATGTGGACTCCACCAGTCGCCCCATAGCATCGTCATGACAACGTCAATGCAACTTGGTGACACTGTCCTGTCCAACAAAAGATGAAAATGACCCCATTTTCGGACCGTGGCAACGTATGGTAAAAATATACAAACAGTAGGAAGTGCATAAAATTAAATATATGCAATAGGAATTGTACAAAATCAGATACAGACAACAAGAAATATATAAAAAAATTAAATACAGATAGAAGAAAATATAAAAACAAAATTGATGATTAAATGAATAGGAGGATTATAATGTGGAGGTAATGGAAGAGTCTGGACCGCGAGTCTTTCAGATGAGTCTGGACCGCGAGTCTTTCAAATGAGTCGGGACCGCAAATGTATTTAATGCGCCTGGACCGCGAGTCTTTCACTCGAGGAAAATTTCAATTAGCGTGATCAATTAGTCAAAATAAAATCTAAATAATACATGAAAATAACAATGCATAATATACATAACAATTTTTTTTTATATACTAGTATATATATGTGGTAATTTAAAACAATACTTGAAAAGGTAATATGAAATTAAAAATAGATTGCAGGAACCATACTGTACATGGATTAGAAAAACATTATATTCACATTAAGTAATAGTATATTTTTTTTAAACATGCTGAAAATGTAGAAAAAATAAGAAAATCGCTGTATGGCTATAACAGTTGCACGACATAAGTAAACACGTCATAGTTATACATATCATTGATCAGCTGGATTCGTCACAATATTGGTAGCAATGGGTGGAATGGCCTTCAAATGCTCGTATGAGTTTTCGATTTCACGATTTTTAGTATTAATGATGGAAATTTCGGTGAAAACTGGGACATCGCCAACCAAGATACGAATGTGGTAGCGGGTTTGGAGAATTCGAATAGTGCTGGAGGATTTGCCGAATGGGATCTAAATTTGAGGAGGTAACGAAATTTCTTCTACCCTAGAGTCTTCTAGCAAAAATTGTAAATTTCGCCACTTGAGGTTGAGTTTGGATGTGAGGAAGCCCCGAGTTATCCCTTACAAAAAACGAAATGGCTTCCATGGGGTTAGATAGCTCAAGGATAATTTTTGTTTTGGAACCCTGGGTAATGGAAGAAGATGAAAACAACAGTCGTTTGAGTTTCAACACCATAGCTTTACTTAAATAGAACACAACCATTGTAGTTAATAAAATAGCCACATGCATAAAAGAAAATGATAATGAGCTGGGGTAATT